CACTTTCATCAGACCCGCTATGTTGTGACAAGACACTTTCATCAGACCCACTATGTTGTGACAAGACACTTTTATCAGACCCACTATGTTGTGACAAGACACTTTTATCAGACCCACTATGTTGTGACAAGACACTTTTATCAGACCAACTATGTTGTGACAAGACACTTTTATCAGACCCACTATGTTGTGACAAGACACTTTTAACAGACCCACTATGTTGTGACAAGACACTTTTATCAGACCCACTATGTTGTGACAAGACACTTTTATCAGACCCACTATGTTGTGACAAGACACTTTTATCAGACCCACTATGTTGTGACAAGACACTTTTATCAGACCCGCTATGTTGTGACAAGACACTTTCATCAGACCCACTATGTTGTGACAAGACACTTTCATCAGACACGCTATGTTGTGACAAGACTCTTTCATCAGACCCACTATGTTGTGACAAGACACTTTCATCAGACCCGCTATGTTGTGACAAGACACTTTCATCAGACCCGCTATGTTGTGACAAGACACTTTCATCAGACCCGCTATGTTGGGACAAGACACTTTCATCAGACCCGCTATGTTGTGACAAGACACTTTCATCAGACCCGCTATGTTGTGACAAGACACTTTCATCAGACACGCTATGTTGTGACAAGACACTTTTATCAGACCCACTATGTTGTGACAAGACACTTTTTATCAGACCCGCTATGTTGTGACAAGACACTTTCATCAGACCCACTATGTTGTGACAAGACACTTTCATCAGACCCGCTATGTTGTGACAAGACACTTTCATCAGACCCACTATGTTGTGACAAGACACTTTCATCAGACCCACTATGTTGTGACAAGACACTTTTATCAGACCCACTATGTTGTGACAAGACACTTTTATCAGACCCACTATGTTGTGACAAGACACTTTTATCAGACCCACTATGTTGTGACAAGACACTTTTATCAGACCCACTATGTTGTGACAAGACACTTTTATCAGACCCACTATGTTGTGACAAGACACTTTTATCAGACCCACTATGTTGTGACAAGACACTTTTATCAGACCCACTATGTTGTGACAAGACACTTTTATCAGACCCACTATGTTGTGACAAGACACTTTTATCAGACCCACTATGTTGTGACAAGACACTTTTATCAGACCCACTATGTTGTGACAAGACACTTTTATCAGACCCACTATGTTGTGACAAGACACTTTTATCAGACCCACTATGTTGTGACAAGACACTTTTATCAGACCCACTATGTTGTGACAAGACACTTTTATCAGACCCACTATGTTGTGACAAGACACTTTTATCAGACCCACTATGTTGTGACAAGACACTTTTATCAGACCCACTATGTTGTGACAAGACACTTTTATCAGACCCACTATGTTGTGACAAGACACTTTTATCAGACCCACTATGTTGTGACAAGACACTTTTATCAGACCCACTATGTTGTGACAAGACACTTTTATCAGACCCACTATGTTGTGACAAGACACTTTTATCAGACCCACTATGTTGTGACAAGACACTTTTATCAGACCCACTATGTTGTGACAAGACACTTTTATCAGACCCACTATGTTGTGACAAGACACTTTTATCAGACCCACTATGTTGTGACAAGACACTTTTATCAGACCCACTATGTTGTGACAAGACACTTTTATCAGACCCACTATGTTGTGACAAGACACTTTTATCAGACCCACTATGTTGTGACAAGACACTTTTATCAGACCCACTATGTTGTGACAAGACACTTTTATCAGACCCACTATGTTGTGACAAGACACTTTTATCAGACCCACTATGTTGTGACAAGACACTTTTATCAGACCCACTATGTTGTGACAAAACACTTTTATCAGACCCACTATGTTGTGACAATACTTTTTTTTTTGGCTGAATAATTTATTGGACTTTATATAAAACTTTTAAATAGTCTTATAACTAAACACCCTACCAATAACTAAAACTTACCTATGACTAAAACCCAACTATAACAAAACCTACCTACCATTAAAAACCTTCCTCTGAATAAAATTTACCAATGTTTAAAACCTACTAGTGACTAAAACCTACTAATGACTAAAACCTACTAATGACTAAAAACAACCAATGACTAAAACCTAAAAATGAGTACTCCACCAATTGCTAAGTCCTATCTAGCGCTAAAACTTACATACGAATAAAACCTACCAATGATTTTAAAACCTACCTATGACTAAAACCTACCAATGACTTAAACCTACCCATGCCTTCTAAGTTTGACTTGATTTTATCAATGTTGTTTTTCTGACACACATAAAATCCGGCATCACTTGCAATTGCAACAACATTCCGGATCTCTAGCGTCACCCGACATTCCACGGAGGAATTCTTCTGCTTTCCACCACTGACAGGGCCGACAGTGAGTACAAAAGGCTCTGGTTTGTTACATGATCTCCCAGTCTGCTCACGGCGCAGCTGTAAATCAGCACCGGATGCAGCCATCAGTACTCACTCTGTCATTGGTTTTAAAAAATGGAAATATCTGGAAACGGGAATTCATTTTGTGCGTCCATGAGGGCAGGGACATTTACCCCCCCCCCCCCTCTCCGTGTAGACGCCCCTGCATGTGGAAATCAGCAGGTGGACTCTCTGTCATTGGTTTTAAAAAATGGAAATATCTGGAAACGGGAATTCATTTTGTGCGTCCATGAGGGCAGGGACATTTACCCCCCCCCCCTCTCCGTGTAGACGCCCCTGCATGTGGAAATCAGCAGGTGGACCAGGAACTGAACCAAAGTTTGTTACTACCAATAAATGTCAAACAAAATCGTCTGAATGTTTTTTGAAAGAAATAATCCTCTCCCCTTAATTTGGGGGACATAATAATGCCTATGTGTGCCTATAATAATTGTCTCCCCATAATTAAGGGGGGCGGGACATTTTTTGTTGTTTGTTTAATAATTATTATTGTCTCCCCTAAATTTGGGGAACATTTTTGTTGTTCGTATAATTGTCAAGAAAAGAAAAACATAACAATTGACAAGAACCTGAATTTTCTTTTTTTTTTTTTTAAACTTTTGTCTGATTTAAAAAAATGTTAAGTCATAAAAAGTTGTTTTCTCATAAAACACGAATGTCAATGCAGTGCAAAGTTTGTGATTTAATTTATTTTTGCACGAATTATACCCAGTAGTATGTGAATTGGAGTTTTTATAGACACATACAAAAAATAAAAGAAACCTAATCGTTTATAATAATTACATACAACTTAGGGAAAAAATCTGATAATTATTTGAAATGATGGCTCTTCTACATTTGACTCTTTCAAGGAGGACTTTTTGAGTTTGTACAATAAAATGTCCATTTCCATTGCTAAATATTTATCTTTAATATTTAAACATCCGTTATCATTTTTTTAAAGTTCAAATCAGCAACAGATCTCAAGCAACATTTAAACACGTGCTTCTATTGCGTCATATCATCCTCTTCACTTGCTCCAAAGGAAGCATGTGATACTAAAAGTAGTAACAACAAGAGATGATGTGGTTGACATTCTACCATCACTACAACATCAAGAGATGATGTGGTTGACATCCTACCATCACTGCAACATCAAGAGATCATGTGGTTGACATTCTACCATCACTGCAACATCAAGAGATGATGTGGTTGACATCCTACCATCACTGCAACATCAAGAGATCATGTGGTTGACATCCTACTATCACTGCAACATCAAGAGATGATGTGGTTGACATTCTACCATCACTGCAACATCAAGAGATGATGTGGTTGACATTCTACCATCTCTGCAACATCAAGAGATGATGTGTTTGACATCCTACCATCACTGAAACATCAAGAGATCATGTGGTTGACATTCTACCATCACTGCAACATCAAGAGATGATGTGGTTGACATCCTACCATCACTGCAACATCAAGAGATCATGTGGTTGACATTCTACCATCACTGCAACATCAAGAGATGATGTGGTTGACATCCTACCATCACTGCAACATCAAGAGATGATGTGGTTGACATCCTACCATCACTGCAACATCAAGAGATGATGTGGTTGACATCCTACCATCACTGCAACATCAAGAGATGATGTGTTTGACACCATATCATCACTGCAACATCAAGAGATGATGTGGTTGACATCCTACCATCACTGCAACATCAAGAGATGATGTGGTTGACATCCTACCATCACAATCTGGTGGGGATTATTTTCCCGAAAAGGTTCACAGAATGATCCTTCATTTTATTGTGGACATTTTAATGTGAATATTTTAGTGTGAACAATTTAGTGTGAACATTTTAATGTGAATATTTTAGTGTGAACAATTTAGTGTGAACATTTTAATGGGAATAATTTAGTGTGAACAATTTAGTGTGAACATTTTAATGGGAATATTTTAGTGTGAACATTTTAATGGGAATATTTTAGTGTGAACAATTGAGTGTGAACATTTTAATGGGAATATTTTAGTGTGAACATTTTAATGGGAATATTTTAGTGTGAACAATTGAGTGTGAACATCTCAGTGTGAACATTTTAATGTGAACATTTTAATGTGAACATTTTAACCATACCGTTGTTTAGGATCTTTGAGCTGTGATGCAAATATTTGAAATAGCCGATACCTGCGCTAAATGAGATTCTTTTTATTTTTTAAATATCGCAAGTGCGTTTGGTGTGTAATAGTTTCTTTTTTTTTAAATTTCAGACCTTGACAAGACGTGTCAAATGTATCAAGTATGATTAGGAAAAAGAACAAGAAAGTGAACTCTAGTAACAATTCCTGACTAACCGTGGTTTGTGTGGGGGTGGGTGGGGGTGTGGGGGTGGGTTGGGGGGGTGTTTCAGTCATACACTAAAACTCGGGCTGGTACCGGAATACGTAAATTATTAGCTGACGTCACACTTGTGTATAAATCAGTCAAATACAAATTGATAAACAATTTTTTTTATTCACCACTGACTCTGTACTTGCATGTACACAGCTGACTCTGTACTTGTATGTACACAGCTGACTCTGTACTTGTATGTACACAGCTGACTCGAATATGAAAAACATGGACATGGAAATACACGCGATAGACATGATGAAATAATTCTTCATTAAAAAAACAAAAAATGTACACAAAATAAACCCATTCTCTTTAAATAAAAATAAAACAAAGTTATAGCATTTAGTGTCACTGTGTACACCTCGTGTACATGTTCGCGATGTTTACATGACGAAGTTATTTTCACCGGCATCTACACTTAGTACACAAAATAATAAATCATGTTCACAAAACCCGCCTTTTAGCACACATCATGTACACATAATACATAATTACCATAGAACACCAATTACACAATGACATGTACACATAATACATCATTACCATAGAATACCAATTACACAATGAAATGTACACATAATACATCATTACATAAAATACCAATTACACAATAACATGTACACATAATGCATCATTACCATAGAACACCACTAACACAATAACATGTACACATAATACATCATTACCAAAGATTACCAATTACACAATGGCATGTACACATAATGCATCATTACCATAGAATACCAATTACACAATGACATGAACACATAATACATCATTACCATAGAATACCAATTACACAATAACATGTACACATAATACATCATTACCATAGAACACCACTAACACAATAACATGTACACATAATACATCATTACCATAGAACACCAATTACACAATAACATGTACACATAATACATCAGTAAGACAGTACATTGTACACACAGATAATTAGCTGTCATGTACCGTACTCGTGTTCTAATGATTGTTAACGTGCACTTCGTAGCATGTATGAAATATCCTTACTTATATTGCAGCATCTAGAAATGTATGTGTACACATTCACAGTTTACAACAATTGGCAGTCATTTGGTTATACACACTGGAACGAGGCCTGTCAATACTTAATAGGGGTGGATGTCAATCAATAACAGGGTCAAGGCCAGTCCTCGGCTCAATCCACCAAGGTCTTCAATTGTCACTTTAAAGTTGTTCATAACTGATCAATAAGCCTAGCCGGACTTTCACTACTGCAAGTAGGGCCACCTCCTTATAGGGCCACCTCCTTATAGGGCCACCTCCTTATAGGGCCACCTCCTTATAGGGCCACCTCCTTAGAAGAGTCCCCGAACGTGTCCATTCCTGTTGGTACTATCGCCCCCGCTGTCTGTGGCCGGAAACCATCATTACCATAGAATACCAAGTACACAGATTCTGCTAACATCCTTGAGGCAGGTCTGTTTTGATATGGGCCCTTATTTTGGATGCACACAAGGCCCTAAATGTCAAAATGTGATCGTTACAATGTGGGTAATGTCGTCCATCAACATCTGTCATTTGGTGTGCGACCCTAGGCACATCGGTTCAGGATTCAGACCGAATTCATGCCACCACAAGGCTATATCAGGTGGATCTTATTCAATTCTATACAATTCATGCCACCACAAGGCTATATCAGGTGGATCTTATACAATTCATGCCACCACAAGGCTATATCAGGTGGATCTTATACAATTCATGCCACCACAAGGCTATATGTGGATCTTATACAATTCATTCAACGCGTCCGCCCTACACGGATGTATGTGCCCGTTACCCATACGGCAGTACAAGCCCTCGTCCGTGCCTCTGAGGTACGCCGCGAGGCGACTGAAGCCGCGTTCACTGACCACCAGCGTGTCGCAGTTGACCATCACGTGCTGGTTGAAGATGTCAGACTCGAGCTTGTCGCAGGTCTCGCCCGCCGCCTCGCGCCTCTTCGATTTGACGCTCGGGCTGTTCACGAGCCGGTCCTTGAAGCTCTCGGCCCGGGCTCGCGCGACAATCTCCGGCGAGTCCGTGTGGATGTACACCTTGTGGATGTTCGTGGGTGACTGGGCCCGGACGAAGCTCCAGATGGTGGGCAGCTGCTGCGTCAGAGACTCGGTAGAATCCACATCGACCTGCCCCGTCTGGTTTCTCTTGAGGGTGAGATCGATACAGATGAGCCGGTGCTCCGGGGAGGGCATAATCGAATACAAATACAGGTCCAGGCGTTTCTGGAGCCGCGGTGCGAGGATGAGCAGACGCTTGAAGAGGATCGCGTGGATCTCATCCCTCCCGAGACCGGCCATCCACGACAGCTGGGGGCGGTAGAGAGTGCTGTTCTGGAACCCCAGCACAAAGTCCAGGTTGGATTTGAAGTAGATGTGGTCGAAGTTTCGCTGGGCGAACTCCGAGAAGTTCGTCTTGTGGAGGCTGCTGTGGAACGAGAACTTGTTGTCCATGATCCGCAGCCCCACGCCCGCCATCCCTTTGTTCAGCACGTCGTGGAAGCTCGTCTGCAGCGTCCAGTTGACGAGGTTCGGCGTCACGAAATCTTGCAGCCTGCATGGGATCCCGTGCGTCTCCGCCTTGTACACCCGCCCCGTGAGGTTCGCGATCAGATACGCCGTCTCCATGCCCTTGAAAATATCCGACCAGTCCGTGCAGCCGGACATTTTCCCCGTGTCACACCGGTAAATGAAATACTGGCTCTTGTCCTGCACGAAGTCAGGCCCGATGTTGGGCGGTGGCGCGGCGTACAGGTCCTTGTAGCGATCCCTGAAGTTCTGGTAGACCGGGTCGCTGATCGCTTTCTTCGTGCGCTCCCGCTGCCCCATGAAGCTGATCAGGGTCGTGCCGGCACCGTACCTCGCGAACCCTCGGCCTCGCCTCGGCGAGATGTAGTCGGCGCCCTCGAACTCGGGCAAGAAGTCCAGCAGGATGTAGCCGGTGAGGGTCAGCATGCCACAGAAGGCCGTCAGCACCAGGAGCCGGATTTTCTTGGTGGTCCTCATTGCCCTGAAGGTTGGGGTCTGGATTTGGGGGGTAGGTTTTGGGGGGGGGGGATAAAGATTAACGGATGGGTTTTGGGGGTAGGGATGATTTCGTGGGGATCAGGGGATAAGGGTGGGCTGGTTATGATTAACGTTAGGGATATGATATTTGGGGGAAAGGGATGGGTTGGCTGGGTTTGGGATTATGGAAGGGTTTGGGTTCAATGCTGCATGTGTTTACGGATAAGGTTGTAGAGGTTTAACACCAGATAAGGTTGTAGAGGTTTAACACCAGATGAGGTTGTAGAGGTTTAACACCAGATAAAGCTGTAGAGGTTTAATACCAGATACGGCTGTAGAGGTTTAACACGAAAGATTTGCAGGTTTGTAGTGGATTTGTTAAGGTTGAACTAAGGTTGGCCGGCCTCACTATCGCTGTCTAGTGGGGTTGGCGAGACAGGTTGTACTGAGACAGAGCTCGTGGGGTTGGCGAGACAGGTTGTACTGAGAAAGAGCTGGTGGGGTTGGTGAGACAGGTTGTACTGAGACAGAGCTGGTGGGCTGGCCAGACAGGTTGTACTGAGACAGAGCTGGTNAAGCATGGCCCCCCCCCCTGCTTTTGCAAGATTTATTTTTCATTAGGCATCAGTGTCTAGGCCAGTAGAAAATCAATCGTAGCAGACAAAAAAAGAGAGACAGCTTCGATCATTAAAAATTAAGATAAGAAAAAAATCAATCCTATTTGGCAATTCTTATTTAAACTGTTTGTTATGTGCTGTGACGTCACCAGTGTTAAACAACTCAACAAGCCGACCACAAAAACCTTTTTTGAAAAAAAACGCAAATGACGTCACTGTCTTCAACCCGTCCCAAACAATGAACAGTTTACCTATGGCATTAACTTTTCCTTTCCTAAAGGAATTTGAAACATTTTTTTTTCCCCCCACGAAGAAAATTGGCAGCTTTCAAAAATGAGTACTTGAAGAAGTTTGTATGTGACAACATTGCTTGTGAATTGCTTGTTGTCAAAAGACGCCAGTTTCGTTCAGCAAATCCGGGAATCCCGATTAAAGGTCATTATTGGCCTGACCTAAAACCAAGTCGAGTTTGTCTACAGCGGCCCAGATCATTCTCATTTGAACCAGTTCGGCGTTCTCACCATTTGTTTCTCAAGTACGATAATCACATTCGTCGATTTAATTTTTTTTAAAAATCTTTTTTAAAATTTGTATCATATTTTTTATGTGACCCCCCCCCCCCCATGCACATGTGTTGGCAATATGAGTAATGAGTACTCGCCAAGCAAATCTGCTGGGTCAATGCGCGATAATACTCCAACAAAATAGCGTTAAACTAAAAAAAATCTGCTTTATATACCGGTACTCTCAAACCCACAATTACCCTCAAAACCAAATAAGACAAAGTCTACCTCAAAACCACAAACCAACAATTTCACACACCAAACCACCAATTTCACACACCCAACCACCAATTTCACACACCCAACCACCAATTTCACGCACCCAACCACCAATTTCACACACAAAACCACCAATTTCACACACCAAACGACCAATTTCACACACCAAACCACCAATTTCACACACCCAACCCCACGGGTCACATTTCTACCACTAAATCCTTCAGATCCCAATCCTTACTTGTATGTGTCATCTTAAAACTAGAAAATACTCCAATGAACAATGTCCCCCTAATGCCCCCCACACCTAATGTCCCCCTAATGTCCCCCTATTGTCCCCCTACCCAATGTCCCCTAATGCCCCCACACACAATGTCCCCCTAATGTCCCCCTATTGTCCCCCCACCCAAGTCCCCCTAATGCCCCCACCCAATGTCCCCCTAATGTCTCCCACCCAATGTCCCCGTAATGTCCCCTTATTGTCCCCCTAATGTCCCCCTATTGTCCCCCACCCAATGTCCCCCTAATGCCCTCACCCAATGTCCCCCCCAATGTCCCCCTAATGTCCCCCCACCCAATGTCCCCCTAATTTCTCCCACCCAATGTCCCCGTAATGTCCCCTTATTGTCCCCCTAATGTCCCCCTATTGTCCCCCACCCAATGTCCCCCTAATGCCCTCACCCAATGTCCCCCCCAATGTCCCCCTAATGTCCCCCCACCCAATGTCCCCCTAATTTCTCCCACCCAATGTCCCCGTAATGTCCCCTTATTGTCCCCCTAATGTCCCCCTATTGTCCCCCACCCAATGTCCCCCTAATGCCCTCACCCAATGTCCCCCCCAATGTCCCCCTAATGTCCCCCCACCCAATGTCCCCCTAATTTCTCCCACCCAATGTCCCCGTAATGTCCCCTTATTGTCCCCCTAATGTCCCCCTATTGTCCCCCACCCAATGTCCCCCTAATGCCCTCACCCAATGTCCCCCCCAATGTCCCCCTAATGTCCCCCCACCCAATGTCCCCCTAATTTCTCCCACCCAATGTCCCCGTAATGTCCCCTTATTGTCCC